TGGAGATAAAAGCGAGTCCTTCTTGTACACAAAAAATTCAATTAACTGCCGCCCCCAGGCGCAGCCTTCAAAACTCCCCAAGACCACCGACCACCATAGCCACAAGACCCTGCCGCGGCCGGCGTCCAATCCCCACCACTGCTCAGTCCCTCCGACTGCTTCGCCCCGAGACTACCGCGGGGTCCACCCCACGTCGTCACTTTGCCCGTCCTTGGGCTCGTCGAGCCTGTTCGGCGCCGCGGACTCTCGCGCATAGCTCGCGCAGCATTGCAGCCGAGATCAAAGAGAGAGAGAGGAGAGGGTTGAGCGAATTTATAGTGTGGGAGGCGGCGGGTTGTCAGCGCGAGGTGCGGGCAGCGCAGGTTGTAGATGAGCAGGACAGGAGGGAGGCCGGGAGTTAGAGGGTTCGACCCGCGGGATGGCATGGTCCTGCGTGATTGGGGTGTCCGTCCAAATGGTGCGCGGTTTCCCGCTCTTCCACATTGATCCGAGCATCCCAACTACGCGGCCAATCACTTCGCGGAGTAAGGATCGAGCTGGGCGGAGGGGAAGACGGCCTCGCCACACCACTCTTGAAATGGGGAAATTTTTCAAGAGCTGTCAGACGTTCTCAAGAGTAGGGTCTTCAAGAGTTTTCGGCCCCTCGCCACACAGCACTCTCGAAAGGGCAATGGTGTTAGACAGAGGATGAAAAACCACAGTCATGCAGCTTTGTTTTTTTTGAATGGAGTCAGGATAACGGCCTGACAACTCTTGAAAATCGAAAGTCCCTCAAGGGTTCGGGCAAGGACGCTCAAGGACGCTTGGAAACGCACGAGTTGCAGGCTGGGGTTTCCCATCTTTCAAGAGCTGCTCTTGAAACGGTTTCAAGAGCCACTCTGACAGCTCTTGACTGCCCCAAGTGTCAAGAGGCTGTGTGGCGGTGCAGCAACTCTTGAAAAAGAGTTTTTAAAAGTGGTGTGCCGAGGCCCTCAGGGCCGCGCCACACCAATGTCGAAACTACAGTTTTCGACATTTTTTCTTCGCCACACAGACTGTCGAAGAAAACAATGTCGAAACCAGTTCGACATTTGTCAGAGGGTGTCGAACGACATCACGGAGACGAGGTGTTGAAGGATGTGTTGATTTCGACATCTATGCCTCAAGTTCCCGTGTCTTCTTCTTCTTTTGTTTTGTTTTTTTCCTGGTCTTTTTTTTTTTTTTTTTTCCCTTTTCTCAAAACGAAAGTATGGTGTGGCGAAGGCGGCTATTGTGTAGAAACGGTGAATGTCGAAAATGGTCTGACAGTTGTCGAATATTTCACCGTTTCGACACTCGTGTGGCGAGACCCTGAATCTTCGGCTAGAACATAACATGGACAGATACGCGGCCATTAATTTTGTCATTTGCACATGTAGAGAGTAGTCGAGCGGGAACCATTAACACCGTTTTCTGGCCTCGCCACATCACTCTTGAAAACTCATTTTCAAGAGTTGTTGCACTGCCACACAGCCTCTTGAAACTTGGGGCAGTCAAGAGCAGTCAGAGTGGCAGCCTCTTAAAACCCCCTTTCAAGAGCGGAGGCTCTTGAAAGATTGGAAACCCCAACCTGCCTGCAACTCGTGTGTTTCCAAGCTTCCTTGGCTGAACCCTTGAGGGACTATTTATTTTCAAGAGTTGTCGGGCCGTTATCCTGACGCCATTCAAAAAAAAATTGCATCCTTTGACCTGCGCCGTAGCCTTTTCAAGAGTGTTGTGTGGCGATGGGCCGAAAACTCTCTATTATCTAACCTTTTTAAGGTTTGCAGGACATCTATGTCGTGGGTCCGGAACTGAGGGTCAGATTCTGATTTACGCTCTACCCATTCAAGCTCATCTTTTGCGGGTAGAATAGCTCTAATAAGGGTATACTCACACTAGCACGTACTTCCGCAAATTTTACGTATGTGAATTTGCTCACCCATTTATATGGCACCTGCGAGTCACACTGCTCACCCGTTTTTTGCCCAAAGCAGAAAGGACAGGGTCGCGACCCGGCCTTGAGATGTGAAAATACGTGCCTCTTGTGACCCAAAAAACTACATAAAATTTGCTATTTTGTGAAAATACGTGGTAGTGTAAGTATGCCCTAAGTCCCGCCAAATGAACGTACTCGACGTCTACCGCTTCGTACGAAGTGCCAGATGTCGATGCCGTCTGACCCATGGGCGCAAGAGGGGATGGGAAAGGGGAACAGTGTCCTACCTCTCCGATTCCTTCCAGCAGTGTCACCACTCATTCTTGATTTAAGACTACAGGCGCAGCCGCAGGGGATGGTTGGTTTCGTTTTGGAAGGGGACAATCCTGTGCGAAATACCCAGGCTGCTTGCAATTATAGCATTTTAGCCTCTCTGGAGGAGCGGTTGCCTGAAGGGGAACAAGTGAGGCAGGGAGAGCAGCTTCTGTAGGCAAAGGAGGTGCCAGAAGCAGGGGATAACATGAAGAAGGATTAGATTGCGGCAATCTAGATGGATTCGTTCCCGGGTTCAAACTCCCGAGTTCCCGCAAGATCTGTTCGACGCGACCCATCTGAGAGATCTTTATCTGTATCAAGTGATTCACCCACTCTGATTGTCGAGAGGTGGCAGAGTGGATAATATGAGCCAGATGAAGATTGGTGATCAGATCTTGCGTTTGCACAAATGGTCGAGGGACAATAGCAGTTTCATGAGCGGCCTTCAAAGAGGGAGGGGAAGAAGAGGGAGAACCTCAAGCGAGAGAGGGGGTGATTCAGGGTGCATGGTCCTGCAGCGGTGTGATAAGCTCAGATCCGTACCGCGCGGCTTGCCGTATCCCTGAGGAAAAATCTCGCGGAAGCCCCGAAGTACGGACACGGACAGAAAGGGGGGTTTCTTTTAACTCTTGCAAACGACAAGAGTTGTCGTCGCTGCACTACTCTTGCGGTGTCACTCTTGAAAACGCATTTCACGAGCTGTCAGGGAGTCGTCAGGCGATGTCGACTAGAGTGCTCTTGTTCGCCTGCCTGCAACTTCCGTTTTTGCAAGGGAGGTCGGACGGTTTCTTGAAAGGCCGCCGGATTCCAAGAGCGAGCCTGGTCTGGACGGACAACACACGCTGTGGCCGTCGTTTAGTGCTTCTAGAGCACTCCTGAAGGGCTTTTGTTCACAGTACGTGGTGGGAAGGCGCCACGGGCATGTACAATTCCTTGTTTTCGGTTCAAGGGGGGGGGGGGAGGACGACACTGGCTAGAGTTCCGCCGTCGCTGCATGGCTCATGAAATCTGTGTCGGCCTCTCAAGAGTGACTTATGAGCAGAACGATCTACAGTAAGTGCAGTGACGACCGAACTCTAGGCCGTTTCGGGACTCTGACAACTCCAGACGCACTCGTGATTTTTTTCACGGGTCAAGAGTAGTGCAGCGAGGCCCTAAGAGTGAGGGTCTCGCCACACCAATGTCCAAACATCACGAAATTGGACATATGTCAGGAGATTTTCGACATTCCCTCTTTCGACAGAAACCCCTCTTCGCCACACCGCATGTCCAAGTGAAGAACTCACCTGTAGTATGTACAAAAGAGACAAACTGGGGTGAAGATAGGACAAGCCTTGGTGCGTTCTCTTTTTCGACATTGGGGCAAGAATTCGACATCCCATCGGAGGACTGTTGAAAATGTCCGAGTTGCAGGCCTGAAGTGGAAACGAGCCCGTCTCGAGAGGAGGTGTCGAAACCCTTTCCCTGACAGCTCCTGAATTTTTTTTGCATCTCGGATTTCGACATGCTGTGTGGCAAGGAGAAAATGTCGAAAAATCAGTTTTCGACATTGGTGTGGCGAGGCCCTGAGTCATCAGCCTGATGAGTCACTCTGATCACCTCCCTGGCCCTTCTACACATCGACCGCCCCTCTCCTACCGATTGAATGGTCCGGTACAGTGTCTGGAAAGTGGTGATCTCGGCGGTTTGCCGCTGGGGGTAATGTGAGAAGTTCATTTTACATCACCATTTAGAGGAAGGAGAAGTCGTAACGAGGTTTCCGTAGGTGTTACTCGTCCAGTTCCTCTCCTACGGTCGCCCTCTGGTATTTTAGGAATCAGCGAGTGGCTGAGCACTATCTGACGGCTTTTATACTCCTATTGAGACTTGCGCTGGATCAATCCACATTCATTACCAGCAGTCCGATCTCCATACACATCTGTGGACGTAGTGCGGAGGCATGTATGAAGCACAGTCGGGCAGACGGGGGAGCTTCGCAGAGATCCTCGGCAGCCTGTCAACCATGCGCGCTAGCAGAAACAGGATCAGAGCCAGAGTGAGCCACCAACGCGCACCCACACGCAGACCTTGCAGACAAGAAGACACCCACGCATACACACGCCCACGCACGCACGCCGGTGAAACTCCGTCGGAACATTACAGCACACACACACAACTCTGTACAGCGAACGTGACTATGCTCATACACACACACGAAGGGTCTCGCTGCACTACTCTCGAAATGTGCAAAACGAGAGTGAATCTGCCCGTAGAATATGGAAATATACGCCGGCATGATTTTTGTCTTTTGTGCATGTCCAGAGTAGCGCAGCGAGGCCCGAACAGTCTTGCAAGTTGTGGACTTGTCCTACGGACAACATGGCAACAGCCCAAGCGGATTCGCAGGAGTCTGACTTTTTTTTTTAATGTGTCGGAACGATTCTGAGCTCCTAGAGACAGTGTTATGGCAGAGGAAAAAGCTCCAAGCGCGTGCTCGCGCGCGCGCGCGCGCACGCACGAACACACACACACACACACACACACACACACACACACACACACACACACACACACACACACACACACACANGCGAGCGAGAGAGAGAGAGAGAGAGAGAGAGAGAGAGAGAGAGAGAGAGAGAGAGAGAGAGAGAGAGAGAGAGAGAGAGATTATAAATGAAAACATTTTGAGAGTGACAGATATAGTTTCGATGGAGTAGCATATTGGGGACGGGCATTGCGAAAAGGCCTGACACTGGGGTGTTAGTTTGTCGTAGAGCACTTCTTGTTCGTTCGGAGCAGCTGGCTGGTCACCGAGGCGGAACCATGGGGAGTCCAAGTAGTTGCAGCGATGCCGATGGATTGATGCGAGTTGAAGGATATGTAGACTGGCTCCGAGGCAGTGGCTACACCTCCGGAGGTGGACGGGAGGAAGGTAGCGGCGGCTTTGCTGTATTCGATGGTCGGGACTGGGCTGAAGTTCCCGTTTCTACCCGGCTCGGCGTCTCTTGTCTGTTTGGCCAGCGGTCGTGGAGGTTGCTTTTAGCCCTGGTGATGGTGGCGTTATGCTGCAGGGTGGAGGAGAGACTGTGCGGTGGAAGCGGAGCAGGGTTCATCACAGTTGCCGAAGGACGTCCTCTGGAAACGCTGTCGAACTCTGACGTCAAGCTGTCGAAGAAGAGGTTCTTGCAGACGGCGATTGCACCTGCGTCCTCTTCGGCTGTGTCGCCCTCTCCTTGTGTCACGATCCTGAACAGCTCAGTCATAGCCGGTTGCACCATTCTTGTCGTCCACCCAGGGTCTTCAGCCCTCCGTCGTAAGGCGCCAAAGGGAGCCGAGTGTCAGTCCAGCATCCGTAACATAGTGATTCAGTCGGACCTGTCTGCTCTGTTTTACATCGCCAGTGAAAACTGCGAGGCCGACTTCGAAGGTGTCAGCCAGGAGTCAATCATGAGGGTGAGCTTCGGAAGCAGCATGGGCAGCCTCTCTCCTCCTTCTTCTCGCCCAGAGGACGTCCAAGTCAGTGTGCTCAGTTACCTCTGGGATATCTTCAATTTGTCCGGGCCTCCTCCATCCTTCGCACCCATCGGGTCAGCAAAACCGATGGTCAACGTGGTCACTGCAGCTCTATCGGCTGACAAGAGGCATCTGGTCGTAGGTGCCTACCCCCCTACGGCAACGGAGACGTCGTGGATCGTTTCGTTGGATGGGCAGACTGGCGTTCGGTCGTCCATTCCCATCAACGCGGCAAAGGTCTACGGGTTGGCCTTCAATCCCAACCACACGGAGATGTACATAGCGGATAAGCAAGAGCCGCCCCGCCTGCTGGTAGCACAAGTCGACGGTTTCGCTCCGCTCCCGCCTTATTTGAACGCCAGCTCGTTTGTCACGTTGAACTCCGTAAACATCACCAGCCCACTGTTTGGTCCGTACAGCTTGTCAGGGGATGGGAGCTGCCTCTACTTCTTGGATGATAGTGTGGAAGGAGTATGGGCACTTGACACTGCCTCTCGCAAGTTGATGGCTCTTCTCGGAAAGGACGGTCCCATCCGTCTTGAGTTCAGTTTCTTTGAGTCTTTGGGAGAGATAGTTGTTACATCCGACGGTCGTCAAGTCTTCTTCACAGACTTTATGGGCAAACTGCACCGCATCACTCTCGACACTGCATGTGGCACTCCTCTGTCCTATGAAGTCGTTGCTAGAAAGGTGGATCATGAGCTCTGGGGCTTGGCCATCAGTCCGGATGACAAATACCTGTATGTAGGAGTAGGGCCCGATGGAGCCATCCTTCAGCTCGCCTTAGGTCAGCTCTCGTAGAACCGCGTGCCTCGCCCGTCGTGCATCTCCAACTGATAGCAGTGATAGGTTGATACCTCATGGCGGGTCCAATCCATTCAGTCTGTGCCGCCTGTCGCCCACATTCACCTAAAATGAATAAATTTTCTGTCTCTTGCGTAATGGTTAACCGTGATTCTCCTGTTAGTCCTCTCCTTTTCGGGGACTGGCAGTAGTTATAGCGTTGCGTCTCGTCGTGCTTTATTTTCCGCCTTCGGCTCTGAGTAAATCGTCTTCCGCTGAGGTAACTGCGGGAAAAGCCCTAGTTAGCTGTCTGTTGCTCTCACGCAACCATAGAGAAAGTGTGAGGCAGATGTAGAGGAATCTCTATGCAGCTTTCAGTCCGCCGTCGTTCATTGTGGTTTGCATGGAATGTGTAGCGCCACCACTACAATTCGCAGTCTGGACTCTGGAGGACGCGCGCTCGCGCGCACGAGAGAGAGAGAGAGAGAGAGACACACACACAGAGAGAGAGAGAGAGAGAGAGAGAGAGAGAGAGAGAGAGAGAGAGAGAGAGAGAGAGAGAGAGNAGAGAGAGAGAGAGAGAGAGAGAGAGAGAGAGAGAGAGAGAGAGAGAGAGAGAGAGAGAGAGAGAGAGAGAGAGAGAGAGAGATCATAACCTTCCATAATGCCTAATGGTCACTTCTGAGTCTTCTGTTTACTTGCAGGGCATCAGCCGATTCTCTGGAAACATCGTTACAGCTGGTGACCCTTCGTATCTACCGATTTGAGACTCGAGTTTCACTCTTGTGAATGCTTAAAAGGATTATTTCTTCGAGGAGTAAGGGCCCTTTCTGGTGTTTCTGTGCTCGGGATCTGAATTCCCTCTCTTGAAGGACTGTGTCTTGCAGTAGTATTGGCTTAGTGGAGTGTCACTTGCTGATCTATGGAATTCCTTACCTTTCATTATTTTGGCATTTGAGTTTTCATTGGAAACATAAATGAATTGCTTTGGTTCTTCGGAACTGCTCAGCAGAAGCTGAAATAGTGCATAGCCTAAATGCGGCAGACCGTAGTCTGCGAATCACACGATTGTTTCTTTGAATTCGTGGTCGATCAGCGGAGTCTGATCGTGGGACTTCGTGCCGCTGTAGTGCAAGCGGCACTGCTTCGAGATGATGGCCGTCTTTGCCGGACATCTTTTTGCTGCTCATTGTTTCTGCTGCAGCTGGGCGGGTTCCCTTGTCCGAAGGACTGGACAACGTAGTCTCACCTACATACAATAAGTAAAATCACCGGTTGAAGAGAAAGTAGTTTCCGTTAATTCTTTCAATGCCCCCGCAGCAAATCAGTCATTGACCGATATAATACGGTGTGCACTGTGCATAGCCGATTCTTCTGTTGTTCACGAATCACGGGCATTGATATTGTGCAGATCTCTGGTGCAATTCTTGTATAACGGCGCTTGGGGCTGAACGATAAGCACATGTTACTGTTGGCGGTTGGCCAACATATGATGAGTTCAACTGACGGAATATAGCGTTAAAGGCTTAAGATCCTTGCGCATAATTCACAAAAACCTCGCCCGATTCATTGTCCCATTAGTACCGTTACCACCCGAACAAACAAACGGAGGGTAAGTTTTTTTAAAATGTTCGGTAATTGCAGAAATAGGGCGTTTTCGAAGTATCGCAGCAGGAATGTGGAGCGGGTCCGAATTCGTTTGTTTGTTTGTTTGTTTGTTTGTTTGTTTGTTTGTTTGTTGGGATAAGTGGTGGAAAGCGCCCACGCCAAAACCTTCGGTTTGGTTTTGGGCGTCCGAAGTCTGGCCGTTTGGTACTCTGCGTGCCGGAATTTGTCCCCGCCGGCAAAAGTGAAACTTCGAAAACGCGCTATTTCTGCAATAACCCTCACAAACGATCGAAAAAACGAACAAACACGCCGTGCACACTCGGACTCGGCCCTCGGGAACTGGTGCTAACTTTGGGTAAGGAAAAAGCATTGCGCATTTAGTGATGCAAGTCTGCAAATCATGTTGGACGATCGATCAGCAGCTGTGCCTGTCATTTAAAAACTTTAAATTTTGAAAGGATCATGTGAGTGCCGCCCTCATGGACAGAGCACTGGAGTGGAGTGCCGGAGCGAAGTAGAAAGGGAGAGGGAAAGTGAAGAGGACAGTGAGGGAGGATGGGAGTTGGAAGGGTCAATCAGCAGCTGCTGCGTGTATGCTACGAATCACCAACCGTTTTCAGAATAGACGTTTACGGTGTTCCTATTGTTTTGCTTTATCCCCAACTCCACTCCGCCCACGCCTCCCCCATTTGTTCCTCTTCCCCTCTCTCGATCTCTGGCACTTTCCCTCCCGAAATGTGTGAGCGAGTCCCGCTGGAATTTCAACGCGGAGGTAGTGGGCTAGTCGATCGATGCGCGCATCCGCACAACGGCCGGATTTTTACGGTTGTACCTTGTCGATTGCTCGGGTGTTTCATTTTCTTTCGGTGTGACGTGTGCTCTGTCGTGATTAACCGCCCATAACCGAAAAAATTCGGCCGTGGTGAGGATGCATGCCAAACTTGGTCGGGTCAGCCTAACCCCCTTTCGGTTGTTCCTGTATCTCAACAACCCTTTCATGCACACACCCCTCAATCGCGGCTACCTTCGTCCCCCAAATACAACGGACGGTAATTATAGCTGTATTTGGGTTGGCGTGTCTTTCATACAGCTATAATGACTGTACGTTGTATTCGGGACCCCGGGGGAAGAAGGTAGCGATCAATGATTAGTCCTCTGCTTTCCACGTTTGAAGAGAATTAGTCGAGCTCAGGTGTTTCGTCGCATTGCGAATTTGCGAGCAAAACGTTTTCGAGAAACGGATTGAAGAATTACCACTTCAATCCTTCAATCCATCTATCTATCCGTTCAATCTGTTCCCTCCTTAGCCTCCTCGTCGTCGCATCTTAGCTGCCCTCTTTCTTTCAAGCCCCTCCTCCTCCCCCTCCTCCTCCCCCTCCTCCTCCACCAACGAGAATGCAATCTGCTGCTTACGGTCTTCCCCCGAGCACACCGCGCACTCATCCTGAATAATTACGGGCGAGCTGTCCGATTGGATGCAGTGATGATGATGATGGTGCGTTAAGCTCGGCGGAAGATGGTCGTAGTAATGTGTCTCACCCTGACCAGAGGTGCAATTCGTGGTAAAATTTCCATGGCTACAGTGAGAGCGTATAACATGACCATTGACTTGTTGTTCGAAGGGTAGCAACTTTACCCGTCCGCGCAGGTATTGTCGCCAAGACCGGTAAGGTTTCCGAAAAATATTTACCCAGAAAAAAAATATACCGGTAAAGTTACCGGAATACGGTTTACATTACCCATCCGCGCAGGTATTGTGCCAAATGTACCGGTAAAGTTGCAGGAATTCAGAACCGTCTTTCGGGAACGTTTCTGCGCAGATTTACCAGGCGGTACCGTCGTTGGTAACAGAGGACCGTTGGCCTGGCCTGTGGCAAGGGGGCCACGGGGCGTCTGTTGAAAAAGGAGGTACCGCCGTATATTTGCCCCGAGACATCACGGAACCGTAAATCTGCATTGATTCATCTCTAAAACGGCTGGTCTGCTCGCAAACCAGTTTGTTTGTCAGAGTACGGGCATACTCACACTAGGGGTCTAATTCCTTTTTTTTTTTTTTTTTTTTTTTTNTTCTACTCTCACCGCATTGTCCATTTCAGTCCTTTTTATCACACTGCAGTTCCTCGGTTATTACGAACATCACATATCTGTGCATGTAACACCCTAGGTACTTCCTCCCTAGCGCAACCCTTGTTCAATTCTCAGTGATATGTGTACCTTCAAAGTCTCCATATAGTCTGTAGACAGTGAAGGCTACAGATTCCTGTATGTTATCTGTACACAGTAGACGTAGTAGACTACATACATTCCACCTGAGTCCAATCTGTATGTAGACTGTATAATATGTAAGGATCCAACATATTTGATCTTTGTAGTATATCCTGACAGGCCAATCAGACTGCAGATATGTGTTATCTTCTATGCTGCCATTCCCCTGACCCCTCCTTTCCCTACCCAAGAGTTGCCCACACCCTCCTTACCCATCCTGGATTGGGGTACCTTCTTTTTTTTTTTTTTTTTTTTTTTAACATCTGCTAGAGACCTATTATTGGAGGCGATAAGAGCGTCCTCCAAAACCTTCACCCTAATCTAGAGCAGTGCTCCCCTTTGCCCGCCCCAAGCCCTCTGATCCCCTTTGTCCCTAGGGGGACCACCAGATTCTGCGCAGGACAAACCGTCTGTCAGCTCCTGCTCTCTACGGGCATTCACTCCCCACCCCATTGCAACCTCTGTGGACCATTGCTCCCTAACAAGTCCCTCTCCCCCAATAATAGGACCGACCCCACCATTCTTGCTCCTACTCCCCGGCCTAGAGTAGTGTTCCCTTGAGCTCTGTGATCCCTCTAATCCTCTTGCCCCTAACTGCGCCACCAGATTTAGGGCAAGACAGACCCTCAATCTGCCCCAGCTACTGAGGACTTGCACTCCCCACTGCGGTGCATGTCCCGCAGAACTGTGCTCTCACCACCCCCCATCCTACATCCCCCGACTACCCACCTCCACCCCACACTGAATTCCTCCTCTCTACCATGTAATCTCAAAGGTCAGTGCCCCTCCCTACTTATCCCGTAGTTTCCCATGTGCCCATCCGTGACGCTGCATGCCTGCTATGCTAGGTGGGGGGACCAGTCCCTGGGCCGTCACTCTAACACCAACTCAGTCTTCACAGCTGCGACTGAAGGCCCACTAGAATCGAACCCACAACCTCTCCCTTGTTATCCCTGTGCTCGAACCAACTGAGCTCCGTCTAGAGTAGTGTTCCCCTGAGCTCTGTGATCCCTCTAATCCTCTTGTCCCTAACTGCGCCACCAGATTTAGGGCAAGACAGACCCTCAATCTGCCCCAGCTACTGAGGATGTGCACTCCCCACCGCGGTGCATGTCCCACAGAACTGTGCTCTCACCACCCCCCATCCTACATCCCCCGACTACCCACCTTCACCCCACTCTGAATTCCTCCTCTCTACCATGTAATCTCAAAGGTCAGTGCCCCTCCCTACTTATCCTGTAGTTTCCCATGTGCCCATCCGTGATGCTGCATGCCTGCTATGCTAGGCGGGGGGGCCAGTCCCTGGGGCGTCACTCTGACAACAACTCAGTCTGTGACTGAAGGTCGAACCCACAACCTCTCCCTTGTTATGCCTGTGTTCTAACCAACTGAGCTACAATCATTGT